CAAATGGCCTTGAGATGTCTGCCTGACACTGACTGGACAGTGGTGCTGTCAGTTAAGGCAGGACGTGAGAAGCAGGTTTCTGGGAGCAAATCCAAGATGCTGAGGTCTGTTTTGGACACGTGGCCTGTGGGATGTACAGGGGCCACCCAGGAGGAAAGACGACCACCCCCCCCTCCTGCCCCCAACCCTGGAGATGAGAAACTGGGCAGCAGCTAAGGATCTGAGAGTTCCCCAGGCAATATTTCCTTGGGGACAATGTTGGAAAAATCCTTTTTATAAAGAGCCCATTTACCCCTAGAAAAAAAGCTTTTAAAATGCTTTTGAAGAGTGATTCATTTTTCCAAAGGTTGCTTTAGAAGGCCTGCCAGTGCTTGAGATTCGCTTGGATTTAAACTGTGTATTGAAAGGAATCAAGTATTCAGATGTAATGAGTTTGAGTGTCTCTTTTTGATAACAAAATCTCGGCTGGTGTTCTCTGCTTTGAAATACCGGCTGGTGGGAATGCTTTTAAGTATTCAAACTGCCTGTTATCAAAAGTAACTAAAGAATGTCAAATGGATTGGCTCTCTCTGTAGCCACAGGTTCACTCAGTGTCAGTCTATAAGTTATAAGAAGTCAGGGTCCCAAAGAGTCGTGAATTTGCCCTTCTGCCCTGATTAAAGCATAGCAGTCAGCGGGCAGTCTTGCATTCTCACATAGACAGGACAGGATCCCCGGTCTTGTCCACCTCCTGGGCCATTTTTGGAAGGCTAAATGTGTGTTGAGATATGTGTCGTGTGGTGCCAAGCATGTGGCCCCAAATCCTTCAACAACTCCACGGAGGGTCCAGAACTCGGAAATTGGAACCACAGCAAAAACAAACAAAAAACAAACAAGAAAAATGAGGGGGGGGGGTGTAGAGAGACATATCCTGGATGTCTGACCAGTGCAATCTTACAGATCCCCAGCAAGCATGGTAGGGCTGGCTGCAGGGTTCCCAATTCTTCCCCAGAACGGGAATCACGGAACACGTATGTAGGCGGTGGTCTGAGTGCTGGTGTGGGTGAGGGATGCGGGGAACCGGCTTAGCAAAAGAAGAGGAACTCAGCAAAGCGGAAATGCCACCCTGCTCACAGGCTTGCGTAAAGAAATTGGCCCAAGCTGGATCTCAAGGTCTTGCCTGAGGGACTTGAAGTAAAATCAAGCATGCGCCCTGGCACTGAGGTTGGAGGAAACCATTAGCAGCCTGAGCTAGAGGAGTGTCAGAGGCGTGGGACTATTTTGACGGAACTTTGCGCAACAGGCGCACCCCGTATTGGGTGGATGGAGGCAGAAATGACCCAATCAGCTTTTCCCTCTGGGAACTCTCCAGGCGAGGGGCGCAGAAAGCATGTTTTTGTTCTGTGATTCTGTGACCTTGGCTGCAGAAGCCAGCGAGGAGGCACTGGGACCCAGGGCGACTGGGTTGCTGATGCTCTCACTCCCCCACTGAAGTGGCATCGCTCTGAGAGGATGTATCAGATGGGAAGAGACAGGAAATAAGGAGGAGCGGGAGGCCTGAGTTTCAGACCGGACACAAACTCAAGTGCTACAGGGGTGAGGGAAAGGGGTACGGCTGTGTGGGGTTGGCTGGCTAGGGGATGTGGCAGGCTGATGGGCAGGCTTTTCTGAGCAAAAGGGGAAGTCGTTCCTCAGCTCCAGCCAATCGTGTTGCAGGAGCTAGGGCTTCCAGAACTTCTGTCTGTTCAAGAGCAGATGTAAAATCTCCCAATTTTTAAAACACTGTGTGGGCTGAACATCACCCCCCCCTGCTGGCCGTCGTCGGTCCTTGGGCTGCCTGTTACCTCCTTGATTTCAGGGTTATGGCAGAGAAGAGGCTACATAAAGAAGAACTGAGAAAGTGAGCCAGAGAGGCCAAAGGGACCCCGAAGTGAATGGGCTCGTGGGTACCCAGGGGCAGAGGGCCTTAGGATGGGGCCGCAAAGAGGTCAGGGTAGGTGACTGGAGAGCCAGATGCCCTTGGAACATTATAGCCTGAGCTAGAGTCCAAAAGTCAACCTTGCGCAGGAAACAGTTCCTGGCATTTTTGCCCAAAAGATACACTTTTCCTGGTGGTTCAGTGTCTTGAAGAGCTTAGACCACCAGGCTGCCTCTTGGCCAGACCAACGGTAGGTTGTTTCTGATCAAAGGCCATTTCAAGGCTTCTATAGCAAACCCTGGGTTGTTTTTTTTTTTTCCTCTTCGTTTACACAGCTGGACTACATTTCCCAGCCTCCCTTGCAGATGAGTATAGCCAATGGCAGAGATGCAGCCAATGGAATGTGGGTCATGATGGTCCTGCATTTCTAATGAGCTCCTGAGTGATGCTGACACTGCTGGTCCCTGGACCACACTTTGAGTAGCACTGATATGCACCCATTTTTCAGGACCGGCCTCGCCCTGAGGCACGTCCTCTCCATTTGCTGGCGGGAGGCAGGGGATTCAGTGGAGCACTCTAGGCCCTAAGAGATGCTTGGGTCACGTGATGGGAGGGCCCTGGGTGCCTGAGTGACTGTGTGGAGCACAGCTCCTCTGAAGTCCTGCACTGGGACGAAGATATTAGCATGAAATGAACTTTAC